AAAGTTGGTGGTCCTCCGCGCTGGGAAGGGTCCTTTCAAAATTTTAGAAGTTTTGTGTCTCAATCAGGGCTGTGGGATGTTAAGCACTCCGGGAAAGCGTTATCTTGGCGAGGTAAACGCTATACACATTTCATCAAGTCCAGACTTGACAGATCCATGGCTAATTGTTCTTGGACTGAATCCTTCCCCCATGGCCGCTGCAAATACCTCCGCTTTGAGGGTTCGGATCACAGACCACTTGTCACTTTCTTTAACAATGCTGAGCGTAAAAAGAGGGGATTATTTCGGTTTGACAGACGCCTGGCCACAAAGTCAGAAGTTAGAGATTTGATTGATAATGCTTGGACAGGACAGTCATCTGCTGATGAGGATGTTATTGCTAAACTCAACCGCTGCAGGAGAGATTTAATTCAGTGGTCTAAAGAACAGAACCAAAACAGTTGCAGGCTCATTAAAGAAACTCAAATCTGTCTTGATGATGCACTCTCAAGGCTGATTCCCAATGATGAACTGATTTCTCAGCTCTCTGCTACCTTAGTTAAGGCTTATAAGGACGAGGAGTTGTTCTGGAGACAACGCAGCCGTATCCAATGGCTTCAATCCGGGGACAAGAACTCAGCTTTCTTTCATGCGGTCACACGGGGTCGACGAGCTGTTAATTCTTTCTCGGTTATCGAAGATGAAACTGGCGCAGAATTTGTGGAGGAGGAACATATCACAAATGTGATTGCTTCCTTTTATGAAAATATTTTTACCTCTAATGGTACTGCTGATTTTCAAGTGGTGGAAGAGACTCTTTCCTCCTCTGTCTCTCAAGAAATGAATGATAAGTTAACCTCTATCCCGGATAACTTGGAAATCAAGGCTGCGGTATTTTCTATTCATCCTGGGAAAGCTCCAGGCCCTGACGGATTCTCCTCTAGCTTTTATCAAGCATTTTGGAGCACCATTGGAGAGGATGTTTGCCGGGACATCCGGAGTTTCTTTGAAACAAATAATCTGCATCCGCGCCAAAATGAAACCCATGTGAGGTTAATTCCAAAGATTTCAGCTCCAAGGAAGGTAGGAGATTACCGCCCTATTGCGCTTTGTAATACTCACTACAAAATCATTGCCAAGATCCTCACAAGAAGGCTTCAGCCACTGCTCCACCAGCTTATCTCCCCTTTCCAATCTGCCTTTGTGCCGAACCGAGCTATTTCAGACAATGTCCTAATCACTCATGAGATTCTCCACTTTCTTCGGACCTCGGAAGCTAAGAAGTTTTGCTCAATGGCGGTCAAGACGGACATGAGTAAGGCTTTTGATCGTATTGAGTGGGGTTTCCTCAAGGCGGTTCTTGGTAGGCTTGGTTTTAATGAAAAGTGGATCGCCTGGGTACTCTCTTGTGTTAGCTCAGTCTCTTACTCCTTCCTTATCAATGGAGTTCCCCAAGGACATGTGTTACCTTCCCGTGGCTTGAGACAAGGAGACCCTTTGTCTCCCTATCTCTTCATTCTTTGTACCGAGGTGTTATCCGGGCTGTGTACTAAGGCTCAAAACCAAGGCCTTCTCCCTGGGATTAAAGTTAGTAGAGGAAGCCCTCCTATAAATCACCTCCTCTTTGCGGACGACACTATGTTCTTTTGCAAGTCTAGTGCCGTGTGTTGCAAGGAGCTTTCTCAAATCTTGAGTAAATATGAGCAAGCTTCCGGACAGCGTATCAACCTCACCAAGTCTACAATTACCTTCTCTGCCAAGACTCCGGCGGAAGCTAAATCCAGAGTTAAGAATACTCTCAATATTACCCAAGATGGAGGGTTGGGAAATTACCTTGGACTTCCCGAGAACTTTGGACGCAAGAAAAGGGATATTTTTGCGTCTATTGTTGATAAAATAAGACAAAGAGCGCACAGTTGGTCCTCTAGGTTCTTGTCGGGTGCTGGAAAATCTGTCCTACTCAAAGCCATCCTCACTGCCTTACCAATTTATGCGATGTCCTGCTTTAAACTTCCCGCTTCCCTTTGCAAGCAAATCCAATCCATCTTCACCCGCTTTTGGTGGGATGACAAGCCGGATAAAAAGAAGATGTGTTGGGTAGCTTGGGATTCTCTTACCCAACCCAAGTATGCGGGAGGCCTTGGCTTTAGGGATGTCCAACACTTCAATGATGCCTTGTTAGCTAAGGTTGGATGGCGGCTCCTCAGTCAACCGGATTCCTTGTTGGCTCAGGTTCTCCTGGGAAAATATTGTGCATCCTCAAGCTTCCTGGAATGCTCCTCCTCTCCACGGGTGGCGTCTCATGGCTGGCGCAGCATTCTAATTGGTAGAGAACTTCTGCGGAAGGGCCTTGGTTGGGCTGTGGGTAATGGAGCCCATATAAATCTTTGGTCTGATCCATGGCTTTCCCTTTCTCACCCTAAATCACCTTGTGGTCCTCCTTCTGCGTCTTCTGCAGACCTTACTGTGCAAGCTCTTCTCTGTCCAGAATCCAATGATTGGAATGTCGATGCTATTCGTCTCCTTTTACCTCAGTATGAGGATGATATTCGTTCTCTAATTACCAGCTCTGTTCCCTCAACAGACTCTCTGGTTTGGCTGCCTGAAAAATCAGGATCCTATTCTTCAAAATCTGGTTATGCTCTTGCCAAAAAGTTTTCACTTCATGGCGAGTCTGAGGGCTTTGATTGGCACAAGCATATTTGGCATTTGAAAATTGCTCCCAAGTTGAAGAATTTTCTGTGGAAATCTGCTGCAGGTGCTCTCTCTGTTGGATCCAATCTGGCCAAAAGAGGGCTGCAAGGTATTGAGGGCTGCAAGCGATGTGGCTGCTTTGAGGATGAACTCCATGTTCTGTCGAAGTGTGATTTTGCAGGTGAAGTCTGGCGGCGTGCTCCTCTTACTTCCCAGCCCGGAGCTCCTCTGATCACCTCACCTCAGCTCCTCCTGCAATGCGTTAGCAGGATTGTGAGTCTCCCTCCTTCTGGAGTCGCGTTGACTCCCCTGGCTCCTTGGATTATGTGGAATCTTTGGATTGCCAGGAACCTTCTTCTCTTCGAAAAAAGAGAGTTCTCTGCTAAAGAAGTTGTGCACAAGGCTGTGTTAGATGCTCGACAGTGGCAAGAGGCACAATTTGACATCCCGTCTCCTAGTCAAAGAGTTCCTGCACCTCCGGCTCACTCTAGGAGTGCTACTGCCTATGTTTGCTACGTTGATGCTGCTTGGTGTGCCACAACAAGGTTGAGTGGCGCCGGCTGGGTCTTAAAATGTCCAGACGGTTTGACTCTCTCTCAGGCGTTCTCCACACGCCCCTTTGTTTCTTCTGCTCTTGTTGCAGAAGCCTTGGCGATTCGAAGTGCTCTGTTTCACATCACCTCACTCGCTCATTTCTCTTATCACCGATCTTTAATGATCTGTTCAGATTCTCAGGTTCTTATCAAGCTACTCAACTCCAACGAAAGCTTCAAGGAGCTTAAAGGCATCCTCCATGACATCTCTTGTCTCAAGGACCTTTTCTCCTCTATCTCGTTTGTCTTTATTTCTCGTCTTAACAATTTGGAAGCAGATACTCTAGCTAAATCTGCTCTTTCTAATTCTCGTTGTGTACCCATTTCCTCCCCCGTGGAGTGTAACTTCTAGTTCCATTAATATATGAGTTTGATCAAAAAAAAGTAAGCCTATATAAAAAATCTAAAAACTGCAGAACCAAAAAACAAAAGAAAACAAAGTTTTACAAAAATCAATAATGGGCATATGCTCTTAAAGTCTTAATCCCTATAAAGTTGCCGCTAATTATACATCCACGGCTCATTGCAATCGTTGCGATGCAAATCCCACAAACCAACACAATCCATTTGTTTTTTTCATATATGTCACTAAAAAGTATTAAATTATAAATCTTGTTTGTAATTTCTGATCCAAAGTCTCAGTATGAAAACTACACGTGGTTAATTATCCTTTATATACATTGATAGTTGACGTTTTGTAATTTATAAAGTTGTGACCACTACAAGAAATATGAGCATTGATAGCATATTAGGATAGCACGGTTTTCGTATTTGCTATTAAAGATGTGTTCGGGATTTGATAACAATATCATAGCATTTCAACAATGCTAAGCCTTGTAATAGCAAAATAAAAAATTAAAATTCAGATCAAAACTAAAATCACTTTGACCACCAACACTTAGCGAAATTAGAACGAAAATTTAAAATTTCGCATGTGACCGCCACCATTTTTTCAAATATTACTACAAAGAAAAAAAACATAAAAAAAAAACATAAAACCCAAATCAACATTTGCAACAACCCTAATCAGAAATCCAGATCTGCTCCATACCAATCATCCAAGGTCCAAATCCAATTTTCTTCTTCTTCTTCTTCTTCTTCTTGGGAACACGACTTCATCACCGCTCTAAGTAACAATGGCCTTTACGCCGTCGTCTCTCCTCCCAAAAATCTTTGTGGTTATAAGAAGCCTAATCTTCTTCTAAAACCATCTTCTTCGACGCATCGTCGCCTTCAGGTCATAACCTCTTACGACAATGGAGTTCTGGGGTAAACATCTCCTATTTCCCACAAAGATCTAAAAGCAAGGTTGGTCTTTAGTTTCTCTTACTTTCGGTAAAACTCTGCGGATGAAATCTTACTCTCATAGGTCTCGTCAGCAACAGAGTTTACTGATAAAGAATCAGAAAAGCATGACGAATCTGATGATGGAGAACAGGAGAAGCAACAAGGGCTAAAGCAAGAACGTGAGAGTTTGGAGAAGAAAAGATGAAGAAGGGTTGAGAGGAAGAACAAGCAGAATTAGTTGACGATTGGAGTGTAGTAAAACAAAGAAATCAGAGTTATCCTTGCTCGAGTATGATTATGTTCCCAAGCTGGTTGTATTCGTGGATTCGAATCTGCCATGTCTAGCACGCCAAGTGTTCGACGATATTCCATACTTGAATGTTGTCTCTGCTACATCGGAAATATAAACGGTAATGTATATGTCCTTTGCTTCGAGACACAACATGAGTAATGATGATGGTTGGTTTAGTTTCTAGGTCTGGAATTGAGAAGTTAGAATGAAATTGGTTAGTAAGAGTGTTTGCTTGTAAATGAGAAGGTGAATGGGCTAGTCTAAGTGGAGGATACATGCTTTATTCATCTATGTGTTTGCAGATTTTAAATGGTTAGTGATTTGTTTGATCTCTCTGTTTCTCTTATTTTGCTCATCTTTTGAGTAATCGTTAATTCTTATTTGATTTTGGATATCAAAACTATGTTTCTTGCAGCAATTTTGTATCACAGATGGATACTCAACATTGTTGAAAGTTTTCATCTCTTGTTCTTGAGGAGGATGAAGAAGTATGGATTACAAATTCTTTTGGTCAAGGCTAGTTTAATTCCCATGTGAGCAATGAAACTGGTCAATAAGGACAGGTTCGTTTTCTTTATGAATCTTAATGCTTATTTTATTAAATATTTGCCTAGTAAATGAGATTGGAATTCTTATCCCTTGATACTTCAAGAAAATAGAGACAATGATAACATGATGGAACTATCATATTCGGCTATCGCAAAGCTTGATCAAGCAAAACAGAATGAGATCCAACCTTCTTCATAAAAATTAGAAGGTTATTTACTTTACTTCGTCTTTGTTACTCTTGATGGTTTTGGTTTTGGCAATTTCAGTTCCAAACTAATTCAGGCTATCCACAAGCTTTCCTTTCGGCATCAAGACTTCAAGGTAAACTAATACTCTTTGATTTCTCGTGTTTTCATAAGGTTAGCAGCTGATCAGTTCAAATTATTTAGTAGATATACCCTGCATTTTAACGAAATTTGAAGCTAATAAGCTTGTCTATTGTACTGCATTTTTAGGACTATTGTTGCTTTGGAGAAGGCAGTGAAGTGAGAATTGCTTGGAATGAGACAACCTAAGTTCTTTGAAGGAGAGAAAGAGCAAGCTAATGGGAAGGCAACGCACATAGAGGGGATGAGATTGAAGTTGTCTTTAGAATGTTAGCTTTATTTTGTTTAAAACTTGGTATGATGTTATGTTAAAATGGATAATGTAATAATATTGTTATGTATGTTGATGATTTATGAAATATAAACATTATATTATAAATCCAATTAAATTTATTTTGAAAAATAGGATTCATATATAATAATTATATATGCAAATAGCTTAAAATAATCGCAGTATAGACTTGCTATTGTAGAATGCCCTATGATAACAAAATGCAGGTGCTATATAAGATTTAATTACAGCGTTGTAATTTTGCTATAGTATCTGTATATATCATAGCATTAAAAAAAATGCTATCGTATGTCAAAAACCTATTATAGCTGCCGATGTCATAGCATTAGTGAATTCGCTATCTTATATGTATGATAGCATATTTTCCGCGCTAACAATGTGCATATTTCTTGTAGTGGACACAATGCAAATCTAAATATATAGAAAAGATAAAAAAGAATTCCTGTTAACATTAATGTGATACGTGTCATAGAAATATCTTGATATGTGTTGGAGATTAATCAAAATTTATAAAGAAAAAATATAAAGAAAAAGAAAAATTTCATACATAATATAGGCGAACAAAACTAAATAGGAATTTTCTTTTTCATAAACACTTAAAGAAAATAATTTCAAATGATTTGTCACTGTGATATTTCTTTCTTTTTGTTTTACAAATTTGATATCTAAGATATGTAACTTCATCACCATGAAATAATTGAAAAATGCTTGTTTAGTAAAATAATTTCCATTTTGTTGTTACTAAATCCCTTATATATTTTTTTTGGTAGATATTATACGAGATCTAGACAAAATGAATATAATTTAGCAGAGATACTTAACAATTAATAATATGAACAATTTTTTCTTTTTGTTAAATGACCATTTAACGAAAGTTTATTTTCTTAAACATGTTACTCTTCTAAAGATTCTTATTTTATGTTACTTTTCATAACTAAGTTGCTGAATTAGTTTATCTTCATTTCTGATTTCTTCGCAAGTTTCTCCATATCTCTCCTCAAAAACAATCCCACATATGATACAACAATCTAATTAAGTTCTAATGTGAAAAAAGCAACCAGAAAAAAATGTTGTTTATTCAGTTTCTCTTCACTTCCTTCTTGCTATTTCTCTTCTTCCTCTTCGGTTTCGCATCATCTGCAACTTTGCCAACCCAAGAAGGTAGATATATGCATATATAATATGCATGCTTAATTATAATATTCGAGTCATTTGTACAGTTATATGATCGATGTGTGTGAAATTCTTTGTAGGGGAGGCTTTTAAAGTTGCACTAACCACATTGAAAAAGACTAATATTGATTTAAATGCGGATCCATGCGAAGTCTCATCTACTGGAAGTGAATGGTCAACCATCAGCAGGTGGAAAGACCTAGTAACTTGTGACTGCTCCTTCGTTAATGGAACCATTTGCCACATCACCAAAATGTTCGTCTCTCTTGATTTTCATTTTATGAAATCTATTTGGTTTTCTTGAGTCAATTTTGTGAATTTTTTTGTTTTGACATTTGATACAGAAATTTGAAGAGAGAAAATCTTCAAGGGTCTCTTCCCAAAGAGTTTGTGGGACTTCCTTTTCTGCAAAAGATGTAAGCAAGAACCCAAATCGATCGAGGAAATTACAAATTTGCATCTATAAAAATGATATGAAGTGTCATTCTTTTTGTTGTAGTGATCTCTCAAGAAACTATCTCAATGGTTCCATCCCTCCTGAATGGGGAGTCTTGCCACTTGTCAACATGTACATATACATATCTCCATAGCTGCTCATATACTTTCAATGTATATTGGTCTTACTCTGTTGATGAAATGCAGATCGCTTCGTGGAAACCGATTAACGGGTCCAATCCCTAAGGAATTTGGAAACATTACAACTCTTACTAGCCTGTGAGTTCAACTAATTTTTTTCAATCTGTTATAACCAATGTTTTCAGATAGTTTATGTTTAGAAGTAACTTAATTAATTTTTTTTTTTTTATGATTCTAGTGTCCTGGAAGCCAATCAACTTTCAGAAGAATTACCTCTTGAGCTCGGGAATCTACCAAACATTAAAAAAATGTAAGAATATTCGTACGAGTTTGCGTTTAGTTTTTGTATTGTTGAAACTTGAAACCTCGATTTGTTTTTGTATAGGATTCTTAGCTCGAATAACTTCAACGGAAACATTCCATCTACATTTACAAAACTAACCACCTTGAGAGATTTGTAAGTATTCTTCTTTGATTCAAAAAGAACTTTTTTGTTACTTAATCTATATGAAATTCTGGTATTTTCGCTGATGCATCTAATTTTGTACATAGTCATGTATGTGACAACCAGTTTTCAGGAACAATTCCAGATTTCATCCAAAAATGGACTAAACTTGAGAGACTGTAAGATCTTTGTTTACAGTTTTGAGATAATTATAACCTCCTTTAAACATGCTTGATTTAGTAATTATAATGTTATGGTTACCTCAGGTTTATTCAAGCAAGTGGTTTAGGTGGACCAATTCCCATTGCCATTGCTTCTCTCGTAGAGTTAAAAGACTTGTATGTATAACTATCTACATTGGCGTCAATGTTGGTTGTTAAATTTTCTTCAATGCGTATTCACTTTATTATATATACTTGAATTTTTTTTAGGAGAATCAGCGATTTGAATAATGGACCCGAATCTCCCTTTCCACCGTTAAGGAACATAAAAAAGATGGAGACATTGTAAGTCTTAGATTGACCTAACATTTGGAACCTTTCTTTGGACATTAAAAGCTAATTCACGAGTTGTTTTTTTCTTTTTCTTTTCTTTTGACATTGTAGAATTCTTAGGAACTGCAATCTAACAGGAGACTTACCTGCGTATCTTGGAACTATTACCTCCTTAAAGCTCTTGTTAGTTTATTTACAAGTATTATTAATCTCTATTAGGATGAAATAAAAACTAAGCTATAACTTTGTAATAATATTTTTACAGAGATCTTAGCTTCAATAAATTAAGTGGAGCCATCCCTAACACTTATGTTAATCTTAGCGACGGAGGTTACATGTAAATGAAAACATTCTCTTCTTTCATATTTCTGCGAATTACTGAGAATTTTGTTAGACTTATTTCTTTCTTACAGATATTTTACAGGAAACATGTTAAATGGGTCGGTTCCAAATTGGATGGTAAATAAAGGATATAAAATGTGAGTTTTTTAAACTTCTTTGTAGGGTGCATTGGGAAAATAATATGTACATAACATAACATGTTTCTTTGGTTACTGGATTTTATATATTTTGTAGTGATCTTAGTTACAACAATTTCTCAGTAGATCCAACCAATGCCGTATGCAAGAATAATGCGTAAGAAAACAATACACACCTTCGAAATTTCCGTGGCTATTTAATTTTTCATAATTTCAAAAGACTAAAAGATTAACAAATGTTTTGTTTGTTATAGACTTTCATGCATGAGAAACTACCAGTGTCCTAAAAGTAAGTTTATACATGCATTAATGGATACAATGAAATTTTAGTCGGTGTAGTGTTAGTCTGATTTGTGCTTTATTTCTTGTGTTATAGCTTTCAATGGTCTTCATATAAACTGTGGTGGAGATGAAATGTCTATCAATGGGACAATATATGAAGCTGATAAGTATGATAGACTGGAGAGTTTATACAAAAGTCGAAATGGGTGGTTCTCAAGCAACGTAGGAGTCTTCGTAGACGATAAACATGTTCCCGAGAGAATAACCATCGGGTCTAACTCATCTGAGCTCAATGTGGTAGATTTTGGGCTGTATACGCAAGCTCGAATCTCAGCCATCTCACTCACTTACTATGCATTGTGTTTAGAAAATGGAAATTACAATGTTAATCTCCATTTCGCCGAGATTATGTTTAGCGGTAACAACACTTATCAAAGCTTGGGTAGACGGTTTTTCGACATATACATTCAGGTAATTAGAAGGACACATATATCTTAAATGTCTAAAAAGCTTGGTCACACATTATAAATTTTGATGAAGCTTTGGTGAAATAATGTAGAGGAAGCTCGAGGTTAAAGATTTCAATATCGCTGAGGCGGCAAAAGCTGTTGGAAACGTTGTTATTAAGACATTTCCGGTCGAGGTAACAAACGGAAAGTTGGAGATACAATTGTATTGGGCCGGGAAAGGAACTACAGTCATTCCCAAAAAACGTGTTTATGGTCCTCTCATATCTGCTATATCAGTGGATCCAAGTAAACAATGTTACCTTTTTGATATTTTTCATATTAGAGTTGATTCATTATTTCATTTCTGACGAAAACTTAACACATGTATGCAAATAGATTTCAATCCACCACCTAGAAATGGTATGAGTACTGGTACTCTCCATGCATTGGTAGTGATGGCATGCATTTTCATTTTGTTTTCCGTACTTGGAATTCTATGGAAAAAAGGTTGCTTGAAATCGAAAAGCCAAATGGAAAGAGGTACTTACAAAGAATACTAAATAAGTTATGATATCTCTAAGTGTTTGTCTTTTGTATGTGTTTCTTGATAATTGTTGCTTTTTTCTTCTGTCAGATTTCAAAAGTTTGGAACTCATGATTGCTTCTTTCTCGTTGAGGCAAATCAAAATCGCTACAAACAACTTTGATTCTGCAAATAGAATTGGAGAAGGCGGCTTTGGTCCTGTATACAAGGTAGGAACAGAAAGAAAGATCACAATAAGAACAATTTGTAAGGATCAATTGACAAAAGTTTCTTGTCTTTAATTTGGTTACAGGGAAAGTTGTCTGATGGAACAATAATCGCGGTGAAACAACTTTCGACAGGATCAAAACAAGGGAACCGCGAGTTCTTGAACGAGATTGGCATGATTTCAGCTCTGCACCACCCGAATCTGGTTAAACTATATGGATGTTGCGTTGAAGGAGACCAGCTTTTGCTAGTCTATGAGTTTGTAGAAAACAACAGCCTTGCTAGAGCATTGTTTGGTTAGCAACACTCTAGCTCCTTAAATAAACCGTCAAAAAATGAATTTAGTTATTATATATATTTACAACCAATTTGTTTTCCCATTCTTGATAAAGGTCCCCAAGAAACTCAGTTGAGATTGGACTGGCCTACAAGACGGAAGATATGTATCGGGGTAGCGAGAGGACTAGCATATCTACACGAAGAATCGAGGCTAAAGATTGTACATAGAGACATCAAATCCACTAATGTGTTGTTAGACAAAGAACTGAATCCAAAAATATCAGACTTTGGTCTTGCTAAGCTTGATGAAGAGGACAGCACTCACATTAGCACTCGAATCGCTGGAACATTGTAAGCCAAAATCAATCATCAACATTCAGTGACAAAGGTTATATACTTATATAATCTGAGATTTGCTTATAACCACAACATTAATTTTTGCAGTGGTTACATGGCTCCAGAGTATGCCATGAGAGGCCATTTGACAGATAAAGCCGATGTTTACAGCTTTGGCATTGTAGCTCTAGAGATCGTTCATGGAAGAAGCAATAAAATAGAACGTTGCAAAAACAATACCTTCTATCTTATTGACTGGGTAACCATGATCTTTTTGATTGATTACATTTCACAGAACTTCCGAAGAAAATATGTTAACTTCTTCTGTTCTTGTTTCCCTAGGTGGAGGTTTTGAGGGAGCAGAATAATCTCTTGGAACTGGTGGATCCAAGATTAGGATCAGATTACAACAGAGAAGAAGCAATGACAATGATCCAAATTGCGATAATGTGTACAAGCTCAGAGCCTTGTGTTAGACCGTCAATGTCAGAAGTGGTGAAGATATTGGAAGGTAAGAAGATAGTGGAGTTGGAGAAGCTTGAGGAAGCTTCAGTCCATAGAGAAACAAAGAGACTTGAAAACATGAACACGATGAAGAAGTATTACGAAATGATAGGGCAAGAGATAAGTACGAGCATGAGCATGATCATGAGTGATCATAGTGAATCATCAGCAGATCATTAGCAGTTGTGTAAAAATAACATGTGAAGAAGGAAACCCAAAAAACTGTTCTTAGCATTTCAGAAACAATCTGAGTTCTTAAGTACAAGTCAGAGAGAGAGAGAGAGAGAGAGATGTGGGAATCAATCTTTTTTAATAAGTGTTAAAATAGACAAAAGCAGAGAATCCTAATGTAACTACTTACACACAAGATTTACATTTGGTTCTTTTCTTTTTTGTCTTTTCGAATATTCTTGATCTTAAATCAATTTTCTTCCTCCAAGTTGGTAGGCTCGCTTAGAACATACTTAGGTAGCTCATACTTAGCACCTGCAGAGAAAAAAACAGTACTAGTCAGGAACATGAAGAACAATCACGACGCAAGCGAAACAAGATTTAAATTTTGACCTCTCTCGTCATAGCAGACTGTGAGATCTGTGTTCTGAACAATGACTCCTGCACTGTCCACAATTGCTTGTGCAAGAGATATATCAGCTTCTGCAGCTGCGCGAAGTGCGTCCCATATCTCTGCGAGTACCAAGTGTAAAATTCAAACATGTTGACACTAAGATCATATGAAAACATCGAAAAAAAACAAAACAAACAAAGCATATCATTTTGCTGACACAAAATATTCCCTCACTATGGTATAGAACTGAGACAATCAAATTGCCATGAAGTTCACCGATAAACATTTAAAATTCTCAACCTAATGAAATGTTATTTAACAAGTGCTATGAAGAACACCAAAAAGGGTCCTTAGCTCAGTGGTAGAGCAATTGACTGCAGATCAATAGGTCACCGGTTCGAATCCGGTAGGGCCCTTTAAATTTTTATTTTTATCCTCCTTCCCAATCCCTATTGTAGAAATAACATTTCATGGTAAATCAATGACTCATTCATCTCTATGTGTAACTCATTCTCTAGCAACCAAAGGGTCCTTAGCTCAGTGGTAGAGCAATTGACTGCAGATCAATAGGTCACCGGTTCAAATCCGGTAGGGCCCTTAAAACTCTTTTTTATCCCTCCCTCCGAATCATTAATATCCATTTTTTCACAAAATCCCTGTAGAACAATGACTATCTATCCTGTTTATGTAAAACTCATTCCTACAAAACCAAAGGTTCCTTAGCTCAGAGGTAAAGCAAATTACTGCAGATCAATAGGTCACCGCAGACTCATTACAGCCCTTAAGACTCTCTTTTTTTTCCACCCTCCCAATCACTAATATCCCATTTTCACAAATTCCTGTGGAGTTTAGATCAATGACTGACTATTCTGCAATCCTGTTTATGGGAAACTCATTAATAAACAACCAAAGGGTCCTTAGCTCAGTGGTAGAGCAATTGACTGCAGATCAATAGGCCACCGGTTCGAATCCGGTAGGGCCCTTAATTTTTGTTTATTTTTTCCTTCTTCCTAATCCCTTTTCTACAAATCCTTTAATTCTTTGATATGTAAAAACTAAAAAAGTGAAAACACCACTCAAAAATCAAAATCAAGCCAAGCTCAAAGAATAAGTAAAAAATTACCTTTTCTACCGCCATAGTGAGGAGCAGTGTCCCAAAACTCTTCTCTAAGTTTCATAAGCTCAGCTTTCGTGATCGGTTGGGTATGCTTCCACGGTTTCGGCTTCCTAATTTTCTTCACTGACCCTGTAAACAAACAAGAAATTATCCATCTGATGCAATGCACAACCCAATAAAACTAAAGGATCTATGTGCATCATCAACCATAGGCATTGATTGATCATACTAGTTAGTGCCCAATTAAAGACTAAAAGTAAGTCCATTCGCGGAAACTAGCTTTATCGGTGTAGATTGACCCTCACTTACTTTTCTTTCCATAAAAGAAAAGCCAACCCTAATCAGAGATTGTAACATATATAATAAGCCACATAAACATACACAAACAACAATCTAAAACATAAAAAATCCTTCACTGGAATCAAATTTAAACATCAAAGATATCAAATTCGAGATAACATCAGCTCTTGCTACTACAATGAAGATTCCAAACTAAAACAAAAACCAAATCAGAACAGATAAAACCTAAACCCTAAATTTCAACGAACAAAATCTACTTTAAGGTTAGAGGAAAGAACATTCCAACATATTGATTACACATCTCATCGATTTCAGATAAAAAGCGATTCCTTTTTTTCTCCTAATCCAACAAAGATTCGATCTTACCATCTGCTTGAGACTGTGTCGATCCAGCACAACCCATTAATGTTCTTGCTTCTTCTTTCAAACCCTTCAAGTAAAAAACACAAATTCTCTCAGGAAATAAACCAAAAGGATTCAGACAAAACACTGGGTTTGTCGAAGCTTCATCGAAACCAATCAAAGTCGCAAACTTTTTTTCTTTCCTTAAGAGAAAGCAAAGAGATTTTTTTGGCGAATCTTGAGACAAATAAATTAGATGTCGGTAGAAAGAAGAAGATCAAGACCGAGTTGAAGATGACGATGAATCGGTGTTGATGATTGTGACATTATTGTGATCTTTTGATATATAAACTAAAGATTTGATATTTTTTTTTTGGGCATAACGAAAAGGAAAAATTGGTTTTTTTTTTTTTTTGGCTTCGCTGTCTTCTCAATTAAAGGCAAATGTTCTAAATCCAATGCCAGGCCAACCAATCATATTTCACCACGTCATCGTAATATTTCTTTGGATTGAAGAATCTGTTATTCTTTTGTGCACTTTAACTAATCATGATCCTGGCTTAATTAAGTTAATCAAGTAGTAATCAGGTTGGGAAAGAATAGCAATAATCATCACTTTAAAAGTGGCTACCAGATTATTTTTGTTGTAATTAATGAACGAATAATTAAATTAATTTATTAATCCCATAGGTAGTGATGGTATACAATAAAGTTTCTTCATTGTTTTCTTTTTAGATTGTTTGTGATTACAAAATAGCAAAAAGTATCATAGCACTGAGATACTTGTTAATTTTGAGAATTTATGATTACAACATTTTTGTCTTTGTTATTAAAAGTAATCTAATAAAAATGGACAAAAACTAAAAGATAAATGTATTATAAGATCAATGACAATTTTGGTAAACAATTTTAAAATAAAAATCCAATAATAGTTAACAAAAGCTTTTCCAATATCCTACTACTATTAATTGGGGAATACAAAATAGAAACTAATCTAAAAATTGCTAAAAATTACATCATAATGTCATTGATCTCTAATATTTTTTTTAAATAAACTCATTTAAGGATATAAAAGTAATTACAAAATTAAAAATAAAATAATATAACTAATTAAAAATCGTAAAAATCTTTTAAATAATTATTAGTTTCCAAAAACTTAAACTCACTTTCTCTCTCATGATCTATGTTGCATGGAAACTCTCTTTGAGGTCCGTTTCCAGTTTCCGAAACGTTTCGGAAACAGAAACTCTTCAGAAACACGAAAAACGTCACGGAAACACGATTCCTAAAAATCTATGTTTGGAAACACGATGGAAATTCACGTTTCCAAAATGGAATGCGACAAATTATTTTTATTGACTTTGAAAACTTAGGGCCTGATTGGTAACAGCTGTAGCTTTACATTTTTTGCTGTAGAAATATGACTGTAGGTTTATTTGCTGTGGCTGTAGATTTTAGTGCTGTAGTATTTTGGCTGTGGAATTTAAAATTTTGGAAAGTTGAAAATTATGTGATTTAGGAAAAAAAGCTTTCTACAGCCAAAAAAATGAATTAAGGAAATATTTTGGCTGTGAGAAAAAAAAAGAAAGCCAAAGCTTCTAAAGCTTGATTGGATGTATTTCAAATCTTTAGAAATTTTTTTGCTTTGTAAAGATTCTAAAGCACTTGCCAATCAGGCCCTTAATAAATAAAAGTTAAAAATATTAAGATTTATAATACATATAACTAATTTTTGAAAGACTCTGAGTTTTAAGATCTTTCTATCGATAAACTAGATTTGGAAGCATCTTTATATGATCTATGATGAAACTAATAATAATGAGAATGAAAATGTTGGTCTAAATTAAATATTTGAACTTGAATCTTTTGATCTTTATCTTTTAGAATTTTAGTTAACCTATTTGATGTTTTGGACTTGTATTGTTTAATTAAACCATTTTTTATAGTTTTATGTTAATGTTATATATATAATATACACATATATTATATATAATATATAATATATAATATATGTGTATACGTTTCCAAAACGTTTCCGATCCCTAATTTTAGAAAAAAATCGTTTCCCGTTTTCGAAACATTTCGCTTCCACGTTTCCGTTTCCGTTTCCGTTTTGCTCATGATTATGGACGACAATTCAAAATTAATTTAGCCTAGAATTGTTAACCAATCAAAATTGAAAAAAAAATAAGATATGATATCTAATTACACCATACTATTTATTTTTAGTTATTATATTTTCAAGATTTTGTTAAGATTTAAAATTATGATTCTTCTATCATTTTTCTTTGATTTTATCTTCAAATTATTTTGAATTATCATATAATACATATAATTAATAAAAAAGAATTGCATATGTTGTGAATCGAATTTTTAAAAACAAAGATGTATTACTCAATCGAAGTTTTATTAAGATATTAATAAAACACCAAAATCATAAAACTGAAACCAAATGCGACCAAAACATTATAATCTCAAGAAAAAACAAGCGAAACACAACGCCGAGAAGACTTCCAAACAAAGTCTGAAAGTCGTTAAGAAAATGGGTACCAAAACAAGGGACAAAAAAATTACATTATTTAATAACATTATATAAATTAAATATAAACAAAAAAAAACAAATTCTAAAGTTAAAATAAAAGAATCGCTTATATATCCAAACAAAAAAAAAAAGAATTGTTATAATACATCATATTGGACTTATAACCGGGCCCAATAAGCCCATCAGAGTTATTCATTATGTACTCTAAAACCCTAGGTTTATATGCCTATATATATGTATCGTTATTCATGGAATGGAATAAGATAACAATAAGTTTCACAACACGTTATCAGCACGAGTTTGCTCTTAACAACCCTAACCCTAAAAATCGCAAAATACTGTTCACGCCGACACTGTTCATCGATACTGTTCATCGATACTGTTCATCGACACTGTTCGCCGATACTGTTCACGCCGACACTGTTCATCGATATTGTTCATCGACACTGTTCATCGGTACTGTTCATCGACAGCGTGAGTTACCGAGGTCTTAAGCTCCCGGTTCAATTCGTTCAACCCCAATTGGTGAAAGGTAAAAACAAAACCTTAAAAGCTTAAAGATCAAAAACCTTGTATTACTTAAACCTAACACTCAAAATCGAAAATACTAAGCCATGGCCGAAATCTTAAAACCTAAATCAAATCAAATCCAAAACCGCAATTTTCGTGTATCCCCTAAACCGGAAATTATTCTCGGTTAACTCCTAAACCCGAATATCAATTCGGTTCATCGATTAAACCGATTATCAAACCGGTTCCAAAATAATAACCGGATCTCAATCTGGGTAAACCGGTTCAAACTGGTTATTCTAAACCGGAAATCAATTCGGCCCAAACCGGAATCTAATATTCCGGTCCAACTTTAATCCATTAAACCGAACTTATGTTCCGTATCCTTAAAATTTACGATTCCCGAGAAAGTTTCCTAAAATAGAAACTTTCCTCAAATAGCAAATGACCCGGAATGAAAACTTTCCTCATTTAGAAAGTTTCCCAAATTAGAAACTTTCCTCATTTAGAAGGTTTCCTCAAATAGAAACTTTCCTCATTTAGAAAGTTTTCCTCAAATAGAAACTTTCCTCATTTAGAAGGTTTCCTAAAATAGAAACTTTCCTAAAATAGAAACTTTCCTCAAATAGCAAATGACCCGGAATGAAAACTTTCCTCATTTAGAAAGTTTTCCTCAAATAGAAACTTTCCTCATTTAGAAGGTTTCCTAAAATAGAAACTTTCCTCAAATAGCAAATGACCCGGAATGAAAACTTTCCTCATTTAGAAAGTTTCCCAAATTAGAAACTTTCCTCATTTAGAAAGTTTTTCTCAAATAGAAACTTTCCTCATTTAGAAAGTTTCCCAAATTAGAAACTTTACTCAAATATAAAGTTTCCTAAAATAGAAAATTTAATTATTTTCATATAACTATCCTTTTAACAAACCCCTAATGAAATCAATTTCATGTTTCAGATGTCAAACATTCAGAAAGTCGAGTTCGAGGCCCTCAAGGTCTCCAGTGAAAACTATCTCGAATGGGCCCTGGACACCAGGATTTTCCTCAACTCAAAGGGACTGGGTGAGTGTATCAAAGCGGATAACACCGCATCTGATAAAGACCAGTCCCAGGCGATATTTCATATCCGCCATCATTTGGCCGCAAGCCTCAAACAGCAATATCTCACTCTTGAGAACCCACTCGAACTTTGGGTGGCCCTGAAAAAACGGTATGATCACCAGAAAACGGTGCTCTTCCCACAAGCCAAGTTTGACTGGAAGGAACTCCGGTTCCAAGATTACAAATCTGTGGATGACTACAACTCCGAACTCTTTCGGATAGTTTCAATCATGAAACTATGTGGTGAAGAGGTGTCTGATAATGATCTCCTCGAGAAAACATTATCCACCTTCCATACCCAAAATATTGTGCTTCAGCAACAATATCGTGCAATGAAACATACATTGTACGAAGATTTGTTATCCTGTTTGCTCTTGGCCGAGAAAAACAATGACTTGTTAATGAGGAACAGTGCCCAGAGGCCCCCGGGATCGGCTCCAGTACCAGATTCCTGCAAAGAATCCTACAATGTCCAGCGAGACAGATCCTCAGATCGTGGCCATGGACATGGGAATGGACGTGGGAATGGACGTGGAAAGCGTGGACGCGGAAACGGACATGGCAACCGACATAACCTCAGTTATGGTTCCGGTAAAGGCCGTGGTATCTCTAAACCAAACCGCCCTGCCCACCCAACCAATCAGTCTGCCTGTACCAGATGCGGAATGTTCAATCACTGGACAAAGAACTGTCGTACTCCCAAGTTTCATTGCGATTTGTATCAGAAACATGGGAAAGCACCTGCTGAAGCTAACATGGCCCAGCAAGTTGATGCTAACGACACCACCACCGAGCCGACCGATCTCATGGACTACGAGACCTCAGATCTCCTCGATTGATTCTATCATCTGAACACTTGCTTATTTTGATTTTGTTTCTTTTCATTTTGGGGATCTGTTTTATTTTCATTTGCTATTTATTTTCAGACATTTTGATATTTTATTAATTTATGAATCTTATGATTTACTCATTTTTAAATCATACCTCTTGTTTAAATTGAAGATATGAACACTCAAAAGGATATCATAGTGGTGGATAGTGGATCCAGCCACACTATCCTCAAAGACAAGAGTTATTTCATAAATTTAATCATGCAAACCGCGAATATTAGCACAATAGCGGGTAGCTCGAACTTAATAGAAGGCCACGGCCAGGCCCATGTGTTGTTATCAAACGGCACACATCTGGACATTCCAGATGCATTATACTCACCCAGCTCAAAAAGAAACCTTTTAAGTTTTAAAGATA